TGATTATATAACAGATAGCCAAATCATAGGAACGAGTAATAAAATAACGCTCTGAAAAACGTCTGTTGAATAACACGCGAGGCGTACAAACGTTAAACTATTATATGATAGAACTTGCGAGGCGTACAAACGTTAAACTATTATATGATAGAACTTACTTTGGTTGTTCAAATTAGTAATTAACTCAATAATCGATGCCCTTTGTCCTACCCGAATGCCACAATCTTTAAGCAATTCGTTATTTAATCTAAGAAAGTTGTAACCATTAACCCCTTCGTTACGAAGACTTTGAAATTCAACCTCATTTATTTCCAAATGATTCTTTCCTCGTAAATAAATGATAAGCTCGTCCGTATTATATCCTTCAACTTCTTCTACCGAGGTTTCAGTGGTGGTACTTGTAGACATTTTCGATTTAAAAGCAAAAAAAAAATGGTAGGGATTTGGTGGGATATATAAGAAATCTACTGTCGCACAAATAGTCAGAAATGTATTACACGTCATAACTCATATGATTAAAAATCCAAAGCCCGAAATGTTTTATTAACGATTGTTCAGATACCAGTAAGAAGCCACGAAGCGAAAAATGGTAATTCATTATTTATCGCAAATGTCATTTTTTTTAAGTTTGGAGATTTGTGATTTTGCCGGAGCTGGAGATAGGTATTTGCGTAAAAATATCACTCCTGCAACGATTATATATATTATAGCATTCCCTGAGTGTCTCCATTGTTAAGAATATTTTGAGTGGATGGATTGAATTATGAGTTTGCAAAATGAATATATTACTTTTTTTATTTGTTCCTTTTATCAGACACTCCGATTCACCCAGAATTTTTATAAATAAAATTCTTCTGCAGTTAAAGTCCTGTCCAATAATTTGCCGATCCCAATTCCGAGAGTCAATGTGAAATGAATATGTCTCGACGATATTCCACAGCCTTTCATATTATGGGACGCCACGAATAAGGAAACCAGCATGAGGCCTGAATACGAAACAATTAGTGAAGAAAGTTTTGTGCGAGAAGATTATGCAATCAAGGTACAAGAATCACTCAATCAAAGATTTCGGGATATAATATATCATAGGGCTTTATTCCGAACTTTTTTATTCAATGTATCTCAAATAAAAACTGCGTAATGTCTTTTAGCCAGTCCCTATATGCTATATTCCTCAACCGATGTAGGGCATTAATTCTCCGCCTTAGGCAATTTCTTTCCGGGACATAAATAAAATTTCTAAAATTTATCAACCAATCGAAGTTTTCTGTTGCACAGGGATGTTGTACAATAATCATCCAAATTTGAAATGACACACTAAATTTAATTTTATAAAACAAATCTTATCAATGATTCTAGCAAACCTTTATCGAAAAAATGCATTCAATTGTTTAAGGATAAAAAATTTTTCTAATCGGATAAATGGTCATCGATTTACTTCAGTGATAAATAATAAATTCTCGGGTTTTGATGCAATAATTTTGGGTGCTTATAAAGACGGGTCCTTATCTGAGGCAGCATCGAAAGAAATTTCTGAAAAAGTTCAACAAAATATTAAACAACAGCTTCAATATGCTGGAGCTAAAGGGAAATTAGGTGAAGTAAGGGTTTTATATGGAGTTGGAAGTGAAGAAGGGTTACCTACGAAAATTGCGGTTGTTGGTTTGGGTACTAAGAAGGAATCATTGAGAGATTCTTTAGATAAAGCCCGTGTTGCGGTATATCATCGTTTAATTTCAATAATTATTATCATTGGTTGCATGATAAAATTTATTTATGACTTTTTATAGGCAGCAGCAGGCGTTTGTACATTGCGTGATCAGGGAGCCAAAAATATCGTAGTTGATGTTATGACAAGTGAACATGGTATTTAATATTCTTAATCATTTAATTTTAACCTGTATTTATTAAATATAATTTTCTGTTAATTAGGCGCATCCGAAGGTGTTACTCTTGGTCTCTTTAAACCGGATCAGTTGAAATCCGCTAAAAATAAAAAATCATCTGTTATCATTTCACCATTCGGATCATCATTAGAAAAATCATCAGATCTTTCTTGGGAGACTGGTTTGATTTATGCGAATGCTCAAAATTTTGCTCGTACATTAGGAAATTCTCCATCAAATTATATGACTCCTACTATTTTCGTTGAAAATGTAAAATCCGTATTACAAGATCTGCCAAAAGTTGAAATTATTGTTAGAGATAAAGAATGGGTCGAAGAAAAAAAAATGGGATCTTTCTTATCTGTTGCTAAGGGTTCAGATGAACCTTTAAAGTTTTTGGAAATCCTTTATAAAGGTGGAAAAGAAGCAGATAAACCTTTGGCTTTGGTAGGAAAAGGTAGGGTTTTAATTTTTCTTTATTTCTATTCATGTAGATCATAAATCTAATAACAATGATTCTTCTTTTTTCTAGGCATAACATTTGATTCGTATGTTTATTATTTTCAAAGCAAGATCTTGAGAAGAGAATTTATCAATAGAAATTAAAGTTGTTCATTAAAAAATTTTTAATTTACAAAAAAATTTAGGGGTGGTATTTCATTGAAACCCTCCACAGGCATGTCTGAAATGAAGATAGATATGGGCGGTGGTGCAGCAGTATCGGCTGCATTATATGGCATAGCAAAACTTGAGTTGCCGATCAATGTGGTTGCCGCTATTCCTTTATGCGAGAATTTACCTTCTGGTCATGCAACAAAACCAGGGGATGTCGTCATTGCCATGAATGGTAAATCTATAGAGGTATTACTCTTTTATTCACTTGCTCTTTTATCATTAGAGCTGATTTTAAGGTTCAATATTTCTTTCATAACTTGATTAGGTTGATAACACAGATGCTGAAGGACGAATGATATTGGCTGATGCATTGTATTATACAAGTTCGACATTTAAACCTCATAGTCTCATTGACTTGGCCACCTTAACCGGGGCGATAGGAGTAGCTCTTGGTAATGATCATTATTCTGGAGTTTTTACTAATTCTAATATCTTGTGGAAACAACTTGAAGAGTCAGGAAAAATCGCAAACGATCCTTTTTGGCGAATGCCACTTGATGATTTCTATAAAACGGCCATGACTAAATCTGATGTAGCAGATTATATTAATTCTGGTGATAGATATGGAGGTGCATGTACCGCTGCTATTTTCCTTAAGGAGTTCGTTTATGGATTAAGTGATGAAGTAACAATGGGTAATAATATTACCGATACCAAGGAAGAGAAGGATGATGATATGGTTGAAGACAATATAATTGATAAGGATGCTGACGAAGTTAATAAGATTCGATATGCTCATATTGACATGGCTTGTGTTATGAGTACTAATGCAGACTCTTATTATAATGTTAAAGGCGCAACTGGTATGTCAAATAACTTTTATTGTATAATATATAATACATAGTCATTAGTGAAGGATTCTTTATTGAATTTATTTTTATTCATAGGGCGCCCAACTCGATCTATAATTGAATTTGCTAGAAGACTTGCCAAAGAAACCGCTTTTAAATAAGCTTTGTTGTTTCAGCATATTTGTATTTTGTGTTTTTGTTTTTAGCAATGTTTGAATTTAATTTACAAAATGGTTAATTTCACTTAACATAATTTCGCTCACAACTGACTTTATCTTTGTCATACCTTATATTATATTTTATTATAATTTTTTTTTTTAGTAAAAATTTTCATAATAATTAAAATTTCGTCATCATGTGATAGCTAACCCAGACCCCGTAAAAATACAATATGTGGTGATAATTCTGGTAGAAATTATGTTTAAATTTTAAATTTGAAGTAGACATATAATTCTCATTAAAACTGAAATTGAACACTTTTTTCTAAATAAAAGTCAAAAATTCAAACTTTTTTTGTCAAGTAATTATTCCTTCCTGATCGGCTTGACACTTTCTTTTTTGCTAATATAATTTCTAGCGACGATACTAGAAATAATTGATACGGTGAATAAGAAGAACTTATTCTCTGACCGCATAGCTCGTTTCTCTAACTGAATTGCAGTAGTTTCCGTTTTAGAGAGTCTATGGTCGAGATAATCGTTTCTGTGTCTATCGATATCGTATAAAAGACAATCCTTTAGAGTGAAATTAACGTTCTGATCCCAATTAGGAGATTTACGGATATCGCTTTCACGAATAACAGTCACCGGTGTCTCATGTCGATCATAGCAAATGACATTGATATAGATGTCGATCATTTGATCGACAAAATTTTATATGATTTTATGCCTT